TTCCATGTTGGACATTGTCAGTGGTCTCTGCTGTTATGTTAAAGCTTTAACAGTTCTGGTTCTCCAGGGAAATTTTGAGCTAAGTCCCTTAGAGATGGGTCCAGTTGAAAAAGACAGAGTGGGTGAAAAGCCTTCTAACTCCTGGAGTGACTTTCTGTGTATAGAAGGAAATGTGTGAGGTACATCCCAGTCTGACCATGTCACCAGTGCAATGCTGAATTCAGAAAAGAAATCCAGACACATCCCCACTTTGAATGAATCTGGAAAATTGAAGAGTTTCTTTTTTAAAAATTTGCAAGGTTCTGTAAGACTGGAACTGAAAGTTTGCTTGCAGTGCTTGTTTGTTCATTGTTTGCTTTGATTTTTTTCCAGATATTAATTCAAATTATTTAGTTTATGTAGGAGTTTCTTATGTTTTATTTGTGTTTTGCTAAATTAATTTTCAAAATTTGATGGATTTTTATGTTTGTTCTAAAAGTGTTCCTCCTATGTATTTCAGGTAGTCTTCTTAGTGGATATCTATAAGTTCTGTAAAGAGTGATTCTGTTTTGATTGCTGGAAAAAAGAAGTATGTGAAATAGACAAAATGTACAGGCTATAGAGAAAGGAAAAAAAAAAAGCTGGTGTTCTCAATACCTAATAGTGCGATAGCAGAAATGTCATTTAATTTCTTTAGTTCCAGTTTCCCTATTCTTATGTTGTCCAAAATTTGTTTTGCTATGATTAAATAAAGTAGGATGCTTGAGAGAACTTGGTAAAACTGTAAAATATTAGGCGTTCCTACGGATGCCATGGCAAATGTCTTACGCAGCACACAGAGTCATAGCCTTTTAATGTTAAGAAAGGTCAACCAGCAGCAGGACTGGCCATGCGTGGTAGCTTCGGGGCAGGGATGCTGGACCAGTCTTGGCCACAAGACAGCTGGTCTATGGTGACTGTTGATTTCCTGCCCCTGTTCCATTTTCTCCTGACATTAGAGAAGACAGAGTCAGAGATGTAGCTGCCCCCCATGTTTCTCTGGAAAGTTTTCCTATCAACATAGTGTGCCCATAGAGATATTTTTTTCGGAAATGATAGGCTTTAAAGTAAGCTCATGAATGGAATGAAACATGTGCACCTCCAACATACCCCTCACACATGCAGGAAGCCATTTCCTTTTTGCACAGCTTCTCTGTGTTATATTTGAGAGTCTACACCTTGCAAAATAAATGATGCACCGTCTGATCGCAAAACATTTTTTTGAAAACTAGCTTTTATGTATTGCTTTTTTTTTTTCAATGATCAACACAGAATGAATTTCTTTCAAATTGGTTCTGTTAATGTGAAATTTGAGAAAGTAGTATGTTTAGGGGGCCCTGCCTATTTAGAACGGCTAAGTTAAATAAACAAACTCCAGAGCATATAATATTTGTAGCAAAATAATGTTCAAAAGTTGAGCTCCTTGGTCTCCTGAGCCTCTTATTTTATCTGTGCTTTAGTTGATTGTACTTTACTAAAAATGTCATAAAGGGAATGGAAAGTTACTCAGTAACAACTCTTTTATATCCTTGATCTTATCAGCTAGTTCAGGAGAAGGGTTTGGCTAATAAGTAATGAGGTGATGCATGCCCATTTGGCTGTATATATATTAATCCCATGCCTATGAACGTGACTGAGGAAACTACATAGAGTTGAGTCCTATAGCTTTCAAAAAAAAATCAATGTTACTGCCATAAAGACCCTAATAATTTAAGAATCTGTGGTTGTAGGATTTTTTTGTATGAAACGAAACGGGTTATAGGTCATACTGTGCTCGAAGATGATTATTTAATGCCTTGTTTTTTATGACATAACAAAAGGAAGTTTCAGATATTCATTGGAAATGTCTTGTAATTGAGCACTTAGTACTATTTTCGTTTTCTCATTCTAGAACAGTAAGTGTTGATCTGCTGGGGTTTTTTTGTTTGTTTTTTAAGTTTAATTTGCCTGTTTATTAGGTTTACAGTATAAAGTAATGATTCTTATCTGGCCTGGTTTTGGTTCTTTTCCCCTATTCCATCTCTGCTTTTGCTCCTTCTTTAAAAAAACACCAGATCCGAGACGAGTGGGGCAATAAGATCTGGATCTGTCCTGGGTGTAACAAACCTGACGACGGAAGCCCCATGATTGGCTGCGACGACTGCGACGGCTGGTACCACTGGTGAGTGCCCCAGAGCGCCCCGCACCACCACGGCGCTGCCCCACCAGCACGCCTTAGGTCCTCCTCACGGGAGGTGTTTGGCAGAGTGGGTGAGCGCTCTTGTCCTGAGAACAGTTTAGGAAGTCAAATGTCAGACCTGTAAAATGTAATGAATTGCAAAAACGAAGAATGTTTGCACTGATCTTCAGCCCAAATCCTAAATGTTTCTCATAGTTTTTGTTATTCTTCTTATAAAGATGAGTAAATAAAAGGAGTTACAGGAGCCCCCCTTTTCTGCCTTCCCAGCCATGTTTTATAGAAACTGCAGTACTTGACCTTTAAACATTTGCTGTAAACAAACTGCAGAAATAAAGACAGCTGGCCTGGTTTTTAAACTTCTTCAACAGTTCTCAAAAACTAAAGGCCATACCATCAAAATGTATGCAAATAATCTGGTTTTATCTTTGAAATGTCATACGTAAAAAGGTAGAATTCTGTTCAGTTATGATATATGGTATCTTAAAAATGAAACCATTACTCAGAAGAATTTTCAACTGCTGGCTGAAAGGATGAATGAACTAATTAATCTCTCCAGGAGTGCCTAAAAGAGGCATTCTATATAATATAATAATCCAAATGCCCCACAGTAGTGCTACGTAAATTAGACCGTTTGACTTTGATTTCTGATAAACATATCATACACTTAAAAAATTTTTTTAAAACATAGAGGGCAAAAGAATATGTGTATGTCTAAAACATGTTCATCTGAGTTTATTTTGAACACGTAGGCCCTGTGTTGGAGTAATGGCTGCACCGCCAGAGGAAATGCAGTGGTTTTGTCCCAAATGTGCCAACAAGAAGAAAGATAAGAAGCACAAGAAGAGGAAGCACCGCGCGCACTGACATCTCGACGTGGCCTGGACTGAGAGTGTCAGCTCGGGCTTTCGCCCCAGCGCCTGCGGAGTGCAGCTGGTGCAACTGTGCCATCACATCCACCCCCAAATTCCAGTGGACCATGAACCTGGGAAGGCCGAGGACGAGAACACACCATCCCCTCTGGATTTTTCCCTTCTGAAACACACTGGCCTGTGGCTCCGCGACGGTGTGATTGAAGAGAAACTCCGAGGCGTGGCCCGAGGGCTGCCCACCTCCATTTTTCTATTACCAGTGACAAGTATTATTAATAAAAAAGACCGTACATCTTCCCTTTTGATTTCCTTTATTCTCTCCAGGGCCTTTTCATTAAGGTATTAGATGAGAAGATATGTGCAAACTGCCTTGACTGTAATTTAAGGATGACATCATTAGTCTGTATACAGTTTTCAACTCCTTTCCCTCTATAGTAAGATAATCATAACATAAAAGAAAACTCCAGTTGGAGTGCTGGTAAATATTTTTGTGATGAGAATATATGAAGCTTCCCCCACCCCAATCCCCCGTTTTTAGTACTAACATGTAAAATGTTCAGGCTTTTGTGAAATACCTTATATTTTTTAAGAAAAAGGTTTCTATCATGTCCTGTTTGCTTTTGTGCAAATTATTTTTGTTTACTCTAACGTATTTTATATCTTTGTTGCATTCTAATTTTGCCCTTCTTTAAAACTGCTGGAGTCTCTTCTCACTCACTGCTTGTATATTTCATCAACTTGTATAAAAACTCTTCATACTAAAAGGTTTCCCCCTAATGTAAATAATAAATATTTATGAAGTAGTTATTTTTAAAAATTTTTATCGTGTTTAATTCTGGCTTTCTCTGAAATCCACAGTGATTTCAGCCATGTCTGTAATTACTACTGTCCACAAGCAAAGGAGGCTGGAGAGAAAGAGCCCTCCTTCAAAGTCATTGACCTTGAGCTGAGCCTGTGCAGTGCCCAAAAGCATGGTGGGGGGAAAAGGACCCAAGCAGTTGGAAGGAAAACAAGGCAATTTAAATCTATAGTTTATGATTTGAAATTGTTTTGTTTGTTATCTACTTTGTTTCTGTAAAATTTTTTGACTGACTTTTATGAAAAGGACATGTAGGTTCCATGAAAGTTAAAAAAAAAAAAGGCAAAACATATACTGTAGCATTTTGTGTTTATATTGTTTTATTTCTACAAATCTGTTCATTGATATTGTGCTTTACGGCTGAAATGAAGTATATTATGAATTTTTTTAAAGAAAACTCATCAAATTTCAGGGTATCACAAAACTTTATTATATTACTATACTGCCCACTATTTATTATATGTTATAGATGTCTGAAAAGTAAACCAAATATTTTATTTTTAATGTAAAAACATCAAATTTAACTTTATTAGCCTATTTTAGCAGCTTTGGAATAAATATAGAGTTTTACTTGATTTTGAAATAACCCCAACATGGGCCCTTGTGATGGGTTTCTTGAATGCTAGGATATGGGCTTTGAACCTAATACAGGTATACCATTAGAAAATGTGATTTTTTTATTGCCAAACAAATTGATACTAGTGTATGAATTAGTCATATTTTAAAACATATTATGTGGTTAGAGAAATGCAACTTTCTGCCAGAAATGTTAAATTTGCTAATCAGTGGAAATGGAGTCTCTCTTTTAAGAGTACAGGATACCATTGCCCTCCTTACTCTACAGGCCAAAGTTTTTCTATCCCTGCAAGGAAAAAAAAAAAAAAAAAAAAACCAAGAACAACAACAACAAAACATCTGTGTTGAAATATGTGTTTTTGTTTTATTAATTGGAGATCATTCTAAATACTTTATACAATATTTTCACATGCACAAATATACCCATTAGTGCTTTTTGGAGAGGGATGAGGGGTGGGGGAAGTACAAAATAAAGATTATTGGCTGTTTCATAGTTTGCTTTTCCATTTTCTTTATTTAGGATTTAGTTTCTTGAGGCATGGTCAGTGGATCTAGAGTTGCCACGTTTAAGTGAGCAGCAGGTCATGCTGTTGAAATAAGGACGGAGGTGCCTATGTATCGCTTTCTCCCCAGTCCTACGGTATCCGAGACTTCAGCCCACACTACATTTAAGGAATTTCAATCAGTTTGTTGTCCCTTGCTATTTCATGGTTGCTTTCCTAAATCCAGTTCATGATTTTATAAATGGTCTTTGCAATAATAAAACCAAAGAATCATTTTCAGGGGGCTGGATAGCTCAAGGGATTAGTAATGGAATACAGAGCCTTTCACCTCGAGGTCAGTGAGTCGAAGCCAGTCCAGGTCACCACAGACCAAAAGTTGTCACCATCTTAGGACTGTTCGGTGGCCTGTGTGAAATGAACTGGTGGTCTCTGTCTCTCCTGGATGTGCATTAGAACATAAAACATCTGTGTGACAAAGAAAAGTTAGGAAGTTGGGCCACAGTCATTCTCCATAGGGAGAGGGGAAAAAACAACAAATGCCACTGACACTGCAAGGAGAAACAACAGAGGACAAAGCGCGTGTATATGGGTTGAGAGGGAAGGAAGGAGAAATGGGGGAGACAATACAATCCCGTAGAAAACCTTCAGGGCCCCAAAGTAAGAAAAAAATGGCTTTGACTTTGGAGGGAGAAGAATATCAGGAGAAGCAGCAGGAATTGGAGGAACTACTGGAGCTGAGAACGAGACAAAAGAATGAAAGGTATCTGGGGGGTTAGATGCTGTGCACTTGGGAGTACAACCCATGGACCTGTTGTCGTCCATACCAGCACTATCGTTTGAATAGCATCAACACTTTATAAAGACAAGTACTCGTGGGAGAGCCATGCTCTAGCTCGTGATTTTATTCCTAGAGAGGGCAGTTGCAAAACAGACCCCTCACTCCTCGCAGGGAACTGAGAAGCTCGCGTGGGCACTGCTCTGCCCGCAGAGCCAGGTGGAGCTGGCAAAGCGTAATTTCTGTGGCTGACAGGTGTTTTCTCTTGTGGAGGTGTCTGCGGTTGAGTCTGGTGCGGATCTTTATCCCCTGAGTGATTTGTGGGTTCCAAATGTCCTGAAGAAAATCAGAGGGTATCGGAGCCTTCTGACTGTGTCGGGCTTTTTTCAGAGATAAAATATAGTGCATGACTCCACTGTATCACCTACACCGCCTTTGTTCGCCTTTCAATAGGACGATTAAACAAAGACCTACTAACCAAATTAAAGTATAAAATGAACGCGGAGATACGGAAACCTTGCCTCGAAGAATGCTAATGAATGAAGCTCACTAAAGGCATGCTGGCTAAGTTTTCAATACAAATAGTTTTATGGCCAATCTCTTTAGATCATAGCAGTTTGCTTTAGAAGTCCCAGCCTAAAAGTGGATGAGTTACCTTGACTGAAGAATGAAACAGATAATGCCCTGAATAACGTCTGTTTCCACAATGGTATCAAGTCGTTCTGCTAGGAAACGATTTCTTTGAGAATCTTCCATTAGTTGCAGCCTAAAAAAGTATAAAGTGACTATTAATCCAGGCCAAAGGAGGTTTTCGGAATTAGATATATTGATGAACGGCCCGACAGTTGGTTCTTCATTTAAATGTAATATTTAGTCTCCATAGGAGTTATAAAATTATTATCTATTTGCTTTTTATTTTAATCCCGAACAACTCAGTTTTCATTTAGCTTGTAGAAGGCTAGTGTTAATTGTCAATCATTCCTTCCACATTCGCTGGGCACAGTTCACGCGAGAGCCAAAGGTTTCAGAACCAAGTTCATTTCCAGTAGTTGCTAAGACACTCCAGTCCCTTCTCTCCGTGGTTTTGCAGTTGTCCCAGCAGTGAGCTGTGTCAAAATGTATTGCATCAAATGTATGCAAATTGTTCTTTTCCCTCTTTTAAGATTTATTTTATTGAAAGGCAGTTACAGGAAGAGATGGAGAGAGCTTCCATCTGCTGGTTCATGCCCCCAGATGACTACTGCCGGCTTCAACTGGATCACCCATGTGGGTGCAGGGGCCCAGGCACTTGGACCACTCTCTGCTGCTTTCCCAGGCCATAGCAGAGAGCTGGATTGCAAGTAGAGCAGCCTGGACTCAAACCAGCACCCACATGGGATGCCGGCACTGCAAGCTGCCTCTTTACCTGATACACCACTACTCCTACCGCCACCCAACTCCCATTTTTGCCATACATAATTTCTTGTCCCCTCAGACTACAAATGGCTTTTAATGTAGCTGGAGTTGTGTATTTGGGCATATTTACATTTACAACAAAACAAAAGTTTCACAGATGTTTGCCTCCACTGCCCTAGGAATTAGCGGAGTAGAGATATTATATGAAGAGTAGGTGTAGAGACACTCCACAAGGTTTAAACGTGTTGGGTTTTCAGAACTGAAGCATATTTTAGATACTTAACCCTATCTGGCAATTTCATACTAAGTCCTTGCTCAGTGTTTTGTTGAACTTTGAAGTTTTATGGGAGATTTTTGGTTTGGCTTTGGTTTTGGGGTTTTTTGTTTTATTTTATTTTAAGATTTATTTATTTATTTATTTATTTATTTATTTATTTATTTATTTATTTGAAAGGCAAAGTTAATAGAAAGGCAGAGACGTAGAGAAGTGGAGCAGGGACTGGCGTAGCAGGTAAAGCCATTGTCCACAGTGCCGGCATCCCCTGTGGGTGCCAGCTGAAGTCCCGGCTGCTCCACTTCCGATCCAGCTCTCTGCTATGGCCTGGGAAAGCAGTAGAAGATGGTCCAAGTCCTTGGGCCCCTGCACCCGCGTGGGAGACCCAGAAGAAGCTCCTGGCTCCTGACTTCAGATCGACGCAGCTCTGGCCATTGCGTCCAATTGGGGAGTAAACCAGCAGATGGAAAACCTCTCTCTCTCTCTCTATAACACTGAATTTCAAAAAATAAAAAAAATTTAAAAATCTTTAAAAAAAAAAAAAAGTACAGCAGCCAGGACTCGAACCAGCACCCATATGGGATGCCAGCACTGCAGGCAGCACTCACCTGCTACACCACAGCACTGGCCCCTGACTTTTTGATTAACAAAACATTTAGAATGGTGCTGTCTTAAGCCAAAATAATACAAACCTAAAGAATTTCATTATTATTTTCTTTAATGAGTTACCAAGTTACAGCATTTTAAAAAAATGTTTGTGATAGTTCTAGTTAATTTATATAGAACTTATCAGAGGAAGTACTTACCAGAGGAAGTTCAAATCATCCAAAAATACTATGCACAGGGTGGGTTGTGGGGAGGGGGACAGTGTTGTGGGCAGTGCGTTAAGCCGCCACTTGCAACACTGGCATCCCATGTTGGCGTGCTGGTTATAGACCTGGCTCCCCCACTTTTTTTTTTTTTTTTTTTTTTTTTTGACAGGCAGAGTGGACAGTGAGAGAGAGAGGCAGAGAGAAAGGTCTTCCTTTGCTGTTGGTTCACCCTCCAATGGCCGCCATGGCCGGCACACCACGCTGATCCGATGGCAGGAGCCAGGTGCTTCTCCTGGTCTCCCATGGGGTGCAGGGCCCAAGCACCTGGGCCATCCTCCACTGCACTCCCGGGCCACAGCAGAGAGCTGGCCTGGAAGAGGGGCAATCGGGACAGAGTCCGGCGCCCCGACTGGGACTAGAACCCGGTGTGCCGGCGCCACAAGGTGGAGGATTAGCCTAGTGAGCCACGGCGCCGGCCTTCCTCCACTTTCAATCCAGTCCAGCCCTGGCTCTTGTGGCCATTCAGAGAGTGAACCAGCAGATGGAAGATCTCTCTCTTGCTCTCTGACTTTCAAATACATACATAAATCTTTCAATATATATTATCGGATTATAATTCGCTTTTTAAACAAGGTAATGATTAGTCATTTTTTGCTAGCTTTTTGAGAGTCTTTTTTTTTTTTTAAGCAAAATGGTTTTATTTATTTTTATTTATTTCAAAGGCAGAGCAGCAGTGAGAGGCAGACCCAGCGATCTTCCATCCAACTGATCCATTCACTCCCCAAATGCCCACAACTGCCCAGGTTGGGTGAGGCTGAAGCTAGGAGCCAGGAACTCCATTTGTTCTCCCATGGTGTTGACAAGGACACAAGTACTTGTATCATTACCTGCTGCTCTCAGAGTTCCTGCCCATTAGCAGGAAACTGGATCAGAAATGGAGCTGGGACCAGAACCCAAGTACTCTGTCTGTTATGGGATGCAGATGTCCCAAGTGGCACCCATCTTAACTACTGTGCCGCAATGCACGCCGAGAAAGTGGATTCTAATGGAATTTCTAAATAGCCAATTCCTTGTCTTTCATCCTATTAATTTTTTTTTAAGATTTTATTTATTTATTTGAGAGGTAGAGTTAGAGACAGTGAGAAGGAAAAACAGAGAGAAAGGTCTTCCTTCCGTTGGTTCACTCTCCAAATGGCTGAAACGGCCGGAGCTGCGCCGATCCAAAGCCAGGAGCCAGGTGCTTTCTCCCGGTCTCCCAGGTGGGTGCAGGGGCCCAAGCACTTGGGCCATCTTCTACTGCTTTCCCAGGCCACAGCAGAGAGCTGGATGGGAAGAGGAGCAGCCGGGAATAGAACCGGTGCCCATATGGGATGCCGGCACTGCAGGCAGAAAGAAGATTAACCTACTGCGCCACGGCGCCGGCCCCTCATCCTATTAATTTTGACTTGGCTGTGTACAACATTCAGAAAAAAATATGTTAGACTCTGAATGTGTTGTACTCAGCCATACCCATATATTTGTAGAAAGAAAGAGGGAGAGAAAGAGAGAGAGAGGAAGGAAAGAAGGAAGGAGGGAAGGAGGAAGGAGGGAGGGAGGGAAGGAAGGAAGGAAGGAAGGAAGGAAGGAAGGAAGGAAGGAAGGAAGGAAGGAAGGAAGGAGAGGAGGAAGGGAGGGAGGGAAGGAGGAGTGGAGGGGGAGGAGGAGGGGGGAGGGAGGGGAGGGGGAAGAAGAGAAGAAAGAAGAGAAAAAGTTCTTTAGTCATTTCCCAGGGCAAGGCGCATCACGTGTTGTAGGGATACAAAGATGCAAGAGAAAGCATGTCCCCAGTGTTGGAGCTCTTAACAATGAATATATGAGAAAAAGAGGGCGTGCACCTTAAAAATGGGTGCAAAGCAGAAATTCACAGAAAGATAGACATATCTGACTGCCGTCTGTTTTCGGCTATCAGTCAAAGACACTACAGAGACTCGCTGCACAGAGTGTTGTAAAACAGCATAGACATGCACAAATCTATGATATATGTATGTAACGTTTAAATACGGACGAAACACTGCATCATTTAAGGATGCACGCAAAGGTGGAAGAGCAAAGAAACAATCCTAATAAGAACAAGGATCATGCGGGTTGGCATTGTGGCGCAGGGGATTCAAGTCCCAGCTGCTCCACTTCCAATCCAGCTCCCTGCTAATACACCTGGGAAAGCAGCAGAAGATGGTCTAAATGTTTGGGCCCCTGCCACCCCTGTGGGTGACCCGGCTGGAGTTACAGACTCCTGGCTTCGGCCTGGCCCAGTCCTGGCTGTTGTACCCATTTCTCTCTCTGTGTTTCCTTCTCTCTCCCTCCCTCCCTCCCTCCTTCTAACTCTGCATTTGAAACAAATTAATCTGCAAAAATAAAAGAAAGAACAAAGATAGTGTGGCAGAGAAGGTCCATTTTTCTGGGGAAGGCAAAGCAAGTTCAGGCTGTTTGCAGGATAAAAAGCTACTGTCTTATTACTGGACACTGATTATACAGGAATCACTTAATAATTGCTTGTGAAAGCTGTGAATATATGTTTTAGCTATTTTTCTACTTGTTGCCTTCTGTAACTTAAAAAAAATAGGAAGTTTACAAAATAATAACTTGCCCAGGAAAATTACTGGATTTGAAACTGAATAGAAACAGAAGACTGGGCCTCGGTAGAGAGAGAAATCTACTGAAATAGAGGCATTCCTGATGTAATGTACATAAGCCAAATTTTTGTAACTGCCAGGGAGAGTTTTGTTTAAAGGAGCAATAAAGTGAATTCTCACCAAGGAAAGAAGGTAAGAAAGAAAAACAGTGAGACCAGAACTGTGGGTACTGCCTTGAGTCTTGGTTGCTCTACTTCAAATCCAGCTCCCTGCTAATGCACCTGGAAAAGCAGCAGAAGATGGACCAAGTCCTTGGACTCCAGCATCCATGTGGGTGACCTAGAAGAAGCTCCTGGCTCCTGGCTTTGGCCTGGACCAGCCCAGGTCATTGCAGTCATTTAGGGAATGAGCCAGTGGATTAAAGATCTCTCTCTCTCTCTCTCTCTCTCTCCCTCTCTCTCTCTCTGTGTGTGTGTATCTCCTCCTCTATCTCTCTCTGTAACTCTTGCCTTTCAAATAAACATATAACTTTTTTTAAAAAAAAATTCTTAAAAAGAGAAAAAAGTAATAAGTATCTGTATAGCTTTTGATTTGGGTTTTTTAGAGTTTCATTGATGATTGACTGGTTTGAGGGGGACAGAGAGTGAGATCTTTCATCCACTAGTTCACTCCC